ACTTATTAATGGTTCAATCCATTTTTTTTACGTCATTTAATCAAACAACATTTTAAAACAAAGGTTGAATAAATTTTGGTTAAATTAATATTAATATTATAATAATAATAATTTATATATTAATATGTTTTTAATCGCATTGTATGTATTAGTATAGATATATGCGGTGATTATGATGCTATCACAAAAAAAAAAAATCTCCACTTCTTAACTAATTTGCACTTATCTTATCATCATACAAGAGTTTGAATTTATTAAAACTCATATTTTAAATTAATTAACATTTTAAAATGTCAGCCGAACAGAGGAGTGTTTACTCAAGAATTATGTCCGCTGTTGAATCCGACCAAGGTGGGATCTTTTTTGTATATGGTTATGGTGGAACCGGGAAGACGTACCTGTGGAGGACTTTCTCTGCTGCTTTGAGATCCAAAGGCGGTATAGTCTTATGTGTTGCATCCAGCGGAATAGCGTCGCTTTTGTTGCCAGGTGGACGAACAGCGCATTCTCGATTTGCTATACCATTGAATCCCCACCAGGAATCTACTTGCAACATCAATCAGGCAAACCCTCTGGCAGAATTGATACTTCGTGTTTGTCTAATAATATGGGATGAAGCATCAATGATGCACAAACATTGTTTTGAAGCAGTACAGACATCGTTGCAAGGTATTATGGGAGCAATTGATCCTTTGAACCTCAACAAACCGTTTGGTGGGAAGTCGGTTGTTTTTCATGGAGATTTTCAACAAATCCTTCATGTCATTCCAAAGGGTAGCCGTCAGGACATAGTCAATGCTGCCACTAATGCTTCTGACATATGGAGAAGTTGTACTGTGCTTAGGCTTACGAAAAACATGCGTCTTCAAGGACTTGCTAATTCGGATGAACGTGATGAGCTTGCACGGTTTGCAGATTGGATAGCCAATATCGGAGAAGGAACTATCAGGGGATCGAATGACGGGTGTGCACTTATAGACATACCCGAAGACATATTGCTTCAGTCATCTGATGATCCTATTGCTCAAATCGTTGAAAGCACATATCCAATGTATAAGGAGGCGCCTGACGATCCAAGCTATTTGAAGGATAGGGCTATATTAGTGCCAACGTTGGATGTGGTCGAGTCTATCAATGAGTACATGACATCATTGAATTTGTTGGATGGTCGTATGTACTTAAGCTCTGATAGTATGTGCAAATCGGATTCTAATAATGATTTTTTGTCTGATCTTCATACGCCTGAGTTTTTGAATAGTATCAAGTATTCCGGAATACCGAACCATGAGTTGTATTTGAAGATTGAAACTCCAGTCATGTAATTGCGGAACATGGATCATTCTATGGGTTTGTGTAATGGGACACGATTGGTTGTGACAAAACTATCCACTCATGTTCTTGAGTGTAAGATACTCACAGGAGATCATGCTGGTGTTACGGTGTTGATTCCAAGAATGACCATAATTCCTTCTGATGTTAGAATTACTTTCAAGTTCCAGCGGCAGCAGCTTTCCATTATGGTTTCTTATGTCATGACCATAAACAAGAGTCAGGGACAATCCTTATCTCATGTTGGCTTATTTCTTAAGAAATCAGTGTTCAGTCATGGCCAGTTATATGTTGTTGTCTCCCGTGTCACTAACCGAAAGAGTTTGAAAACCTTAATTTGTGGCGAAGATGACGTGCTAAAGAATCAAACCAATAAGTTTGTATATAGGGAAGTGTTCAATAATATATGATCTTTTTAGTTTAAATATATGTTTATATGTCTATTCTTATGATCATGATCATTTTGTTATTACACAATTTATATACAAAATATAATTGTAAAAAGCTCACAAGTGATAATATCCCCTTGCATCGCACGAGTGATTACTAGTAATAATAATAAGTGTTTTAATAAATACACAATTCTGCAGCAAAAACAATTTAAAAATAAAAATAGCATAATGGGCAATTATCATTTAATTTTTGTCCATATTAAAAATGTTTTTTTCATAAGAGAATGATGAGATCATATTATCACAATGAACAGTTGCAGTATATAAAGTTAACCACAAACTTATTATAATGCATCAACTACTTTTTCTTTATCATGTATCATAATGTTAATTTTATTTTATTTCTTTTAGATTTTATATAATATAATTTAAATGTTTTTTTTTTGTATTACATTACAAAAAATTTTCAAAGTGTTTTATTATAATTATATTGAATTATAATTCTCATTGGTTTCATGCACAGATAAGTATTTTAATATTACATTGTGTTACAATTCTCATGAATTTCATGCAAATAATAAATATTTTAATATTGGGTTACTGATTCTATTTATAACTTTATAAAAAACGATCAATCTTTCACGTCATTCTCTAATCACCATCGCACTTATTTTGTAAAAAACGAAATGTTGAGATTTATTTTGTTAATAAAAAGTAAAAAATATGTAGACTTAATTTAAAATTAAATACATGCAGATAGAAGTCATTTTTATTTTTATTAAATATTTAATTTATATTTATAAATTTTATTTTTCTCATCTTTGTACATGTTAACATTAATTATTCAATATTAGTTTATTTGTACAATAGTAATCATGACTTTATTTTCTTTTTTCAACTATAAAAATTATGTTATCACATATACAGTTTTATGAAAAATTTTGAAAAAGTGTCATTAATGTGACCAATAACTTTTTTCAGGGTATATCACATATTTTTGTAAGCTTAAAAATTTAATTTTAGAAATTTAGAAAAAAAAAATTATATTGGAATTTATATTTCTTTTTGTTAATTGTTATTGTTTCTAGGGTCACGATTCATGTTGTCTATTTATTGTTATTACTATTGGTTATAACGAACACAATTCATACTATTAATGTTGTATTTGTGGAGTATTTTTAAATGGATTAATAAAAAATTATTTTACATTATCTCAATAAATTTTTTTAAAAATATTTTTCTACTAAATTGTCATTCATTCACACCATTTTTAATATTAGGCCGCGCAACGCGCTGGTGGCGTACTAGTAAATAATAAAGACATGATTAGACTAAAGTAGTTAATGAATATATATCTGACCAGTTTAAGGCTAATTAAAAGGTAGGTTATCGAGTAAATATAAGCTCATGGGAAGCCAGAGAGTTCATACATAATTCTGGGACATGTCTGGAACTAATTACTCATAATAATGAGGAATCTCACGGGTTGTTTTTGTTATTTAGCCATTAAATTATGCAATCATCTAATAAAGTAACAAATTCTAGGTCCATTGCTTATCAGCAATCTTACAAGTGAGAGAGGCTCATTCAACAGAATTTGCGAGCCCCCAAATTCTTCCCATATTTGATGTATTTTTTTTCCTCAACCAACGTTGTCATTCTATCTGCTTGGTAGAATCCCAATTGTTTTTGGTCACATGAATCAAATTAGCAATTTTACTCAAAATAATTATGCTGTAGACTCTGAGGGTTTAGCAGCTGCATGCTTGCAAGCAATTCCCTGTCTCTGTTTCTTCAACTCATCTCCCGCCACAAGAAAAAATGCAGTGTGCCTGCCAACAAATGAGTACATCTAATCTAACATTAATGTAAACAGCACAAGAAAATGGTCCTTCATTACAGAAGGTTCCTTTCGAAGAAGAAAGCGTACTCTTTTAGCATGAAAAGCTAAAATTT